GGTCTTTTCATTCTATTTTCTCCTCAGTTAGGCTTTATCAGTTTTCTTCATGCCAGTGGCAGACTGGATCTAAAAATATTGGTTGCCAGGAGACAAAAGGGGCCCACTCACAGCTACAATACTATCATTTAGTTTTTATAAGAAATAAATGGAATTTAAAAAAAAAAAATTATATGAAAAAAATGGTGAAATTAAAATTTTTGTGGGAAAAATGTGTATTTCTTAGTAATTACAGTGTATGTGTACATATTACTGGTAGCAGATAACAAATGTAAATATAAAATGATATAATTGAATTTTTTATATATTTTTTTAAAATTTTAATTTCAAGTAATTGGTTGATATTTTTAAATAGATTACTCCACAATTTACACATTAACAAATAGTTCAAAAATTAAAATTTTGGAGCACTAAACTTTGACTTTGCATTGTTGATATTTTTTCCAATGTTTTGAATAAACAATTCGACAATCTTCTTCAGGTACCCAATTGGAAAAGAAAGAAAAGTTTTAGCTTTTTATGATATCTCTTTAGTTTCTGGTACTACAAAATGGATATTAAAAAAAAAAAAAAGAAAAAAAAAGACCTTTCTTTTAGAAATTGTATACCTGAAGGTCAGAGAATGGGCTGACAGCTATGGAGGGTTGGATCTATAAATATTGGTTGCAGAGACATTACAATGCTGTCATAATGAGTAAATAACATTTTCAAAAAAATACATATGGAAAAAAGGCACAATTAAAATTTTTGTGGACAAAAATGTGCATTTCTTAGTAATTACAGTTTGTGTGTGTGTGTGTGTGTGTGTGTGTATATATATATATATATATATATATATATGTCGTTTCAATAATCATAAACAAACCATACGTCAAAACAACCCTTATTCCCCCATAGCTAAACACTTTAATCAATCAGGATACTCAGAAAACTGCAAATGTTTATTGATAGATTCCAATTTTAGTTCCACATACACACGCAGAAAAAAAGAAACATATTGGATTTTAAAATTAAATACACATAAACTAGGGTTGAATAGGGACTTGGGTGTTTTAAATCTTTATAAATATTTCAATAGTTAAGCAATTCTTTTTTTTTTAGATATAGTAAAAAAATTTTTTGACAGTTAGATTTAAGTTAGGAATATCCGAACAGTGACATTCCATATCACGTGACAGATGCTACTTGCTAACAAACAGTAATTTTAATTTATTTGTAACAAACAGTTATTTCTGATGAAAGATTGAGGACAATCTGAAATATCAAATATATATATAAATAAATAAATACTTTCATAAAATAAAACATTATTATTTTTTTAATTTGCAACTTTTTCTATATATATATATATATATATATATATATTGTAGATATTACTGGCCATATATACCAAGTGTAAATACAGAAGGTTATAATTTTTTTAATTTTAAGTAATTGGTTGATATCCACAATTTACACATTAACAAATAGTTCAAAAACACAATAGAGCATTGCATGCAGTCCACTATATTAAGAACAATCATTCATGTTCACTAGATGATTGTGCAAATCTGCCAATAATTGCCTCTGCATCTGATTCACCCAACAATTCCTTTTCAATGTATGATTCCAAATTCTCCTCAGACAGCAAATTTCTTAACTCTGTCTTTATAATCTTTAGCTTTGAAAATGTCGTCTTACATTGGACTTGAGTAACTAATAGCATGAAGATGATTTTATAGTATGCGGATCTATTACGCACGAACATATATACATACATACAAAAATACAAATCACATACAATGCCAAACATTCATTGGTTAATAAATCACTACTACATTATTACAGGCAATTTACAAATCGTAGTAATGTGACAATTTTGTAATCGCTCTATTTTTAAGTAGTCAATTTTGTGCACTTTTGGGAAAAGCAGATCACAGAAGCTTCCTTCAGTCTCCCCAAAGCTTGCTCACTGATTGGTCAATGCCAACCAATCAGATCATTTGCACATGAAGAATAATTCTTCCTGTGCAACATTTTGGAGCCTATAGTCGTTTTTTTAAACTAAGATTTTTCTAATCCCAAATAGTGAGAATTTAACTGCCAAACAAATCCACGACAGAGATTCTCATGAACATTCTTCCAGTGAACTTTGGAAAACTAAAATAACAGGTAAAGAGAGACAACTCTTGGTTAAGTCAACCTTTTCTTACTTAAATGTATGCTTTCCTTCACATCACTGTTTGATATTGTACATCTTGTTAAATACATATTTTATGTATAACAATGTCTTTTGGTTATCCTTTTTTGTGTGAGCCTTTCTTCCTAATCTAAAGTTAAATTAATGTGGTGAAGTCCACCACAATAGTTCTTATACATTTTTATTACTAAAACATTTTTCTGTGTTTGTTTCTTTATTGTATTTTTATTTGACATTGGCGGGCTTCTCCATTAGGTGCCAACTTGACAATGGGAAACCTGACACTCTAGTCAGTCCGCTACTGATTGGTAGAAAAAAAAGGCACAATTAAAATTTTTGTGGAAAAAATGTCTATTTCTTAGTAATTACAGTGTATATATATGCTGTAGATATTACTGGCCATATATACTAAATATAAATACAGAATGCTATAATTTTTTTTTAATTTTAAGTAATTGGTTGATATTTTTAAATAGTTTGCTACACAATTTACACATTAACAAATAGTTCAAAAGCACAATGGAGCATTGCAAGCAGTTCATTATGTTAAGAACAATAATTTGCATTCACAAGGTGATTGTTTAAATCTGCTAATAACTGCTTCTATATCCAATTCATGTAACAATTTCTATTCAAGGGATTCCAAATTCACCTCAGATAACAAATTACTTAACTCTGTCTTTATAATCTTTAGTAATTGTTATGTTCTGACAATCCTCGTCGGAACTGTTATATTCCGTGCTAAGGGAATAAATAAATAACACCAGGTGGACTCTAGAAGAAAGGATTATTGTACACAACAAGTAAAATATGAAAATGCGGTACAGTTATACACACAGATCAATCTAGTAGCGAGTGCCACCAAATGGAAGGTTGGACGTGCTTGTGTCTTCCTACTCACTCTCTCTCATCTCCCATCCTCCATTCTCTTGTAGACAGTTGACTTTATAGGTACTTACTAATTATAATGTAATCATTCATGGGGGGGGGAGGTGTTGGTTTATTCCATTACATCAGTAATTACTATATATATATATATATATATATATATATATATATATATAATAATAATAATGGACTCTCCCATAGGTTTCATATATAATAATGGACTCTCCCATCGGTTTCGACATATGAGGATCTGACAGCTTATTGATTCAGTTATGAAAGTTTGTGCGATAAGCTTAAGTGGCATTTAAGACCCGCTAGTGATTCACAAAGGAGGCCACATATGGAGCAAGTGTGAGGATTGTGAGATGAGATCACTCTTAGATTGGCTGACCTTTTAGATCTTGCTCCCGCTTCTTGAAGATGATTCAGACAAGCAAATTGAAAAGCACTCAAGGGTGTTATGTGGTATATATATATATATATATACACACACACACACTGCAGATATTACTGACCACAGATACCAAATGTAAGTACAGAATTAACAATTCCTTTTTTATTGATAACAACATATATGTTTCCAAATTCTTCTTAGCGAATTTCTTAATCTTCTCTTTATGATCTTTAACATTGAAAATGTCCGTTCACATTGGTCTTGAGTAACTGATAGTGTGCAGAGGTCTTTATAAAGTTCTTATTCCTTTTTATTACAAAAAAAGTTGTCTGTTTGTTCATTGCATTTTTGTTTGATATAGGAAGTCCACACACTATTGAACAAGCTTACACCCTGGCCCATCTACTGCCATTTCATCCTCAGTAAACACTTGAATCCCCTTGCTTTGGGTGAAATGATTAAAAAAATATCCAAGATGAGGATTCGTTCCCAAATGTAAGCCATATAATAATAAATCTTTTTATTTTCCTTTCAGAAGAGTAAGCATTTCCTTTGGACTGTATCAAAAACCTGTTTTTTCCAAGGTCAGCTTGCTTTTACCTACAACCAAATTTATCCTATACTTTTAATCATTACTTGTTTTATTTATTTTTGTTTTGGCATACTTTGGTGTGGTTTGCACAGGAGACTGACCAACTACTTCACAAACAGGAACTCCACCCACCCTGAAAACTGCCTTTAGTTTAGTTTTGGCACAGAGTCAGGGCGTTGATGTGGCAGTCAATTAGCAACAGTGAAAGAGCTTTAGGAAGAGTGCTACTGTGTGGGTGAAGGAAAAAAATTAACTTTTCTATGCTGTGGTGGTCTAATTGTCCACTTTAGCCAGAAACAGGGTAAATAAGAGGAGTGAGAAGCAATGGTCAAGAGAGAAAAGAGAAGAGAGAAGCAATGGTCAGGGGAGAAAAGAGGAGAGAGAAGCAATGGTCAGGAGAGAAAAGAGAAGAGAGAAGCAATGGTCAGGGGAGAAAAAAGAGAGAGAAGCAATGGTCAGGGGAGAAAAAGGAGAGAAGCAATGGTCAGGGGAGAAAAAGGAGAGAGAAGCAATGGTCAGGGGAGAAAAAGAGGAGAGAAGCAATGGTCAGGGGGAGAAAAGAGAGAGAAGCAATGGTCAGGGGAGAAAAGAGGAGAGAGAAGCAATGGTCAGGGGAGAAAAGAGGAGAGAGAAGCAATGGTCAGGGGAGAAAAGAGGAGAGAGAAGCAATGGTCAGGGGAGAAAAGAGAAGAGAGAAGCAATGGTCAGGGGAGAAAAGAGGAGAGAGAAGCAATGGTCAGGGAGAAAAGAAGAGAGAAGCAATGGTCAGGGGAGAAAAGAGGAGAGAAGCAATGGTCAGGGAGAAAAAAGGAGAGAAGCAATGGTCAGGGGAGAAAAAGGAGAGAGAAGCAATGGTCAGGGGGAAAAGAGGAGAGAGAAGCAATGGTCAGGGGAAAAAGGAGAGAGAAGCAATGGTCAGGGGAGAAAAAAGGAGAGAGAAGCAATGGTCAGGGGAGAAAAGAGGAGAGAGAAGCAATGGTCAGGGGAGAAAAGAGGAGAGAGAAGCAATGGTCAGAGGAGATAAGAGAGGAGAGAAGCAGTGGCCAAGAAGGATTAAAGACAATTAACAGATTGAAATGTAGACAGAGCTTTTATTCTCAGAGTTTCAATAAGAATGCTTTATTGTCTGTGCCAAAAAAATGAAACCAAGAAAAAAAAGATCAAAAATTATAAAGATATTGATGTTAAAGTGCTTTTCATGCCTTACCAAAAAAAAAAAGGATATTTACGTTCAAAATCTAACTGAGACTGATTCTTTATACTCAGCTGATAGGGAAAGGTATGAATCGGATTTTCCCTCTGAACTCTCACATAGGTAGATATCTTGAACAGAATAACAAGGTCTTGTCACTGTCATTCCACAATGGACAATAGGAAAGAGAGAAAATGCGCAACTGGATAAACCAATCAATTATAATTACCTCATGATCTGCAAATGGAAAGAGATCAATGATAGTGCCTCCCTTGAATCTATCATAAAAATTCAAAATGCAGTGGAGTATATGAAATGCTTCTCAATTCCTCTTCAGTCTAAAGCCTGCCAATTTGCCATCTCCACATTCCATTGCAAAACATACCTGTGACTCTGGCCCTTTTGGGTCACCGAGGTAAGTCTTCAACTGATGCTAACAGTTTTAGACCTAAGGGTATTCTGATGGTAGAATTCCTCATGGTAGACTCCAGGTGGATGGCACAAGTGGTGAGGTCACAGTATAATTCCTAGTGCGGTAGACCGCATACTATAGTAGTAAATGAGGTAGACTGTATGCTATAGTAGAACCCAATATTTTTATCATAAAATCAACTTATGTACACTGTCTATCATCAGATACATTAAGTGCAAATTTTAAGGAAACTGGAATAAAAAAATGTGTTTTGAGTGTAAATTCTAATGTCACCGTGGAAGGCTGATGAGCTAAACAATTATAACAATGCTTGTAAGAGGTTGCTTACAGTGTCCAAAGGCAGTCCCTTATCTATGTATTGGCTGGGTTCAAGAAGTGCTTAACTTATACAGTGTGAATAACAATGCAAGAATAATTTAAAATAAGTCATCTGGTAGGAAAAAAAGGGTACATATCTTGAGTGCAAATTCTAATGGTTCTTCTGAAACAATGTTTAATCTTTTCTTACTGTGAATAAACAATATTAGATGCTACTATAGTATGCAGCCTACCACCATATCAAAAACTATAGCATATCTAGCAAATTGTTCTCTCAGAAAAATACAACTGCTTTTTCCTCAGTCAAGATGACATATCTATAAAAATCTTTCAGCAAAATTTTAATCTGAAGGAGGTTATCCAGCTGATGTTAACAGTTTTAGACCTAAAGGTATTCTGATGTTGGCACTCCATTTCCTTCTTTTTATGTGGACAGGACACACAAGAGGTGAGGTGATGGTAGAATTCATCATGGTAGACCCAAGGTGGATGGCACAAGAGGTGAGGCGAGGTCATGGTAGAATTCATAGTGTGGTAGACCACATACTTTAGTAGTAAATGAGGTAGACTGTATACTATGTTTTCACTGGCTGACGCTGACTGACATATGTTAATAAGAACGGTTGAAGTCTGGCCTTGCTAGGTAAATGATTACTGTTTTTGCAATGTCGCAGTGTATAGCACAACACTTTGAAGGAGGCAGCCTGACTCATCTAGAATTAGGCCGGGGTTGCTGTTGGAGCCAATATGATGTGAAACCCGAAATTGGTGATGAGAACAGTGCATCATGGAAGACAACCCTTGATGCATCTAAAATGTATAATTTAACTAAAAGCACCTAATATTTTTATCATGAAATCCACTTATGTATGCTATCATCAGATACATGGTAATGTTAATATTAGTTGTTTCCTTATAAACATTCAGTATTCGTTAACCAGATGGATGACACAAGAGGCAAGATGAGGTCATGATATAATTCCTAGTGGGGTAGACAGCATACTAAAGTAGCACCCACAAATTTTAATTCATTATTCTATTTATCCTTTTAATTTAGTAATATTCCTTTCTATATTTATTAATTTATTGGCATACTTTCTCTGAATGTCTGGATTATTATATCTCTGTGGTGTCTGTATATATCTGGGGGTTCCAGTTTGGTTGAAAACAAATGAAATATGCATCTTAGTAAACCTATAATAAATCTATTATACAATGAAGGGTGATACTATAGTATGCAGTCTACCATGGTATGAAGCACTATAGCATGTGGTCTACCTCATTTACTACTATAGTAATTGATCTACTGCACCATCTAACACAATGGCATATCTAACTGATTGTTCACTTTAAAAATGACACTGCTGTTACTTTAGACAAGATGACACGTCTATGAAAATCTTTCAGCAACATTTTAATCTAAAGGATATTAGCCAGCTGAGGGTAATGGTTTCAAACCTAGGGGGATTCTGTTTAAGGAACTCCATTTCCTTCCTTTTATGTGAATAGGATACATGAGAAGTGAGGTGATAGTTGAATTCATCATGGTAGAATGCAGATGGACAGAACAAGAGGTGAGGTCACAGTATAATTTATAGTGCAGTAGACCACATACTGTAGTAGTAAATGAGGTAGGCCACAGACTATACTAGTAAATGAGGTAGGTCACAGACTATACTAGTAAATGAGGTAGGCCACATACTATACTAGTAAATGAGGTAGGCTATAGACTATAGCAGTAAATGAGGTAGGCCATAGACTATAGCAGTAAATGAGGTAGGCCACAGACTATAGAAGCACCCATTATTTTCTCTGTGTTACATGTAATATTCATTGTAGTTGCTGTCACTGTTTAAAAAGTTCTCAAGTGATGTGGCTTCTGTTATTTGCTACAGTTCTTGGCTTGTGATTCTGTGGTGCCAGTCTTCAATGTCCGAAGAATGATGGTTTTCACTGAGACTCGCAGACTTCAATGAGTCAAAGCCATTTTTACCATCCTGCGTAAGACGTTAAACTACATCCGCATCATGGGTAAGACGTTAAACTACGCCCAGCAGCAAGGCCTCTGATCAAGAGGTTTTGAGGAGCATGGAACCACCTCTTAATTGCTCGTATTCCCAGGTCCACCCTGACTCAGGGTGGTAGCACCTGTTAGGGTCCCAGCTCTGGGCAAATAGTTAACCATTACCAGCAATACCTTTTTGAAACAAATTATTACCAGCCATACAATTTTGAAGGAAAGATATTATCAGAAACGAATTTTTGACAAAACAAAATATTACCAGCAATAAAAAATTTTGTCAGCATTAAATAACCCATTGAGGTTGATATACCGTAAAACAAAATAAACCAAACCAATCTAAACCAAAGAATACATATTCTATTCATACGAATCTATCCTAAAAATGTTGTCAGCATTAAATAACCTATTGAGGTTGATATGACGTAAAACAAAATAAACCAAACCATACATATTCTATTCATATGAATCTATCCTAAAATTGTTGTAGGCATTAAATAACCCATTGAAGTTGATATGCCGTAAAACAAAATATACCAAACCAATCAAAGCCATTTTTAACCATTGATCTTAAAAAGTGATCATATACACCTGACAGTTTAGATATTTTAAATGCATTTGGAACCATGCATTCTATTTATTGCTAGGTCTGCTGCTAAGAAAGTTGGTTTACTGTGTCGTGCTAGACAAATTTTTCTCTCCAGAATCTATCTGACATATCTATAAGTCTACCATTCATCCATGCTTAGAATATTGCTGCCACATACGACTCTATTTACCTTGATAAAATCTAAAGAATCAGCAATATTATAGGTCCTGATCTGGCATCTCTACTTCAGTCACTTTCCCACTGCTGTAAAGTTACTTCCCTGTGCTTTTTCTATAAATACTTTCATGGTAACTGTTCAGAGGTGCTCTTTGCTATGGTACCTACATTTTATGAATTTAAGCACAGTACTAAACTGGCAGCAAGTTCTCATCAATTTACAATTGAATTGACTAGATGTAACCACAAGTTCTATGCTAACAGTTTCTTTTCTCACACCTTTCACTTGTGGGACTCTTTTCTGGCTCCATGCTTTCCAATCAACTTTAATCTTTAAAAATTTAAATGGAATGTCAATTGTTATCTATTGTCTTCCTGATTACTCTTCCATTGTTCTCACTCCTCAATAATGTTTCTGTTGAAACTTGACTAATGCATGGAATAATAATGCAACACAAAAATGTACTTAGAACAAAATGTATTGAAACAAGAAAGTGTACACAATATTTACATATAGTCTTTTGTATATTCCTGGGAAGACCGTTCCTGGAGAATGTGTTGACTTAGTCACAGTCGGGCAGAGTCTCTGGATTGAATCTCTTAATTCCTCACTCGTCTCTTCCCGGTACCAACCATATTTATATGGTCGGTACTCCACTATGCAAATTAGGTGGATCCTACCACAACAGTTTCTGTTTTCAAATTCTTCTCCACTCAGTAACTTTTTGCATCTTAGTGGCTTTATTGCCTTGCTTGAGGTGATTTTGATTTTTTACAAAAAAAAAAAAAATAAATAAATAAATAAATGAAAGAAAAAAGACTAAAGACATGACTTTTTATGTTGATGCTTTTGGTTTCATAGCAATTTGCATTGTTGGGTAAAACTACATATGGTGAAGCCTATTTTATGTTCAATTTATAGACATGTCCACTTCAAAATAATATATCTTATTTATTTCCATGGGAACGCCAGCTGATACAGGTGAAATAATAAGGCCAAGGATAGGACAAAGTTTTAGCTGTGAAACAGTCACCAACACTGAATAATGCATTTTGATCAGCACTCATTTGACTGGTTGCGAACTCTATAGGCCTATAGAGAAATTACTAGAAAATTAACTGTACTCATATCCACTGTTTGATCTCCATAAACCTTCAGCAAGATTCAATGAATGACAGTAGGTGCAATTTCTTTCCACAGGGAAGAATTCAGTAATACATATCAACTTATTATCTCCTTCAATATCAGACATAATTTGGCTAGGCTGTCAATCAAATTATAGCTATAAAAAGACAATTAAAATCATTATGTGTTACTGGTGGGAAGGTTCATTGAATTTTTTGGCATTGTATAGGAAACTCAGAGAATACTGAATGCACTCCTCAGTTGTAATGGTCCTTGAGACTAGCCCTGTTAATCCTTATTCCATGCCAAAGTGTCGCCATAAAGAAGGTAGTGGGAAACCATTCTATTATCTTTCTGAAGGTGTCATGACGAATCAGATATTAAAGTCAAAAGACTACATCATGAAGTGTAATTTTAAACATTTATTATTATGGATATTTTAGAGAAACTGTTTTACAGGAAGAAAAGACGATAATGAAATAAAAAGAAAGAGAAAAGGAATGATTAGGAGGAAGAAACAGAAAAAAAATAAAATCCGGATGAAAGAAACAGAAAAGAAAAACTGACTTGGACAGAGAAAGAGCTAGAAAAAATGATGTGGGTGTGAAGAGAAACAGGGAAAAATTAGGAGAGAGAAAAAAAAAATGCCAGTGAAAAAGAGAGAGAGAGAGAGAGAAAACAAGACTGAGAGAGAGAGAAAAACAAAAAAGGACTGAAAGAAAGAGAGAGAGAAAAAGACAGAGAGAGAAAAAGAGAGAGTGAGAAATGACTGAAACAGAGAGCAAGAAATGACCGAAAGACAGAGCAAGAGAGAGAGAGAGATAGAAAAAAAGACTGAGAGGGAGAGAAATGACTGAGAGAGGGAGGCAGAGAGAAACAATCAAGAGATAGTGAAACGAGAGAGAAAGAGTACAAAGCAACCAAGAAAGAGAGAGGGGTACAAAGTGATCATGAGAGAGAGAGAAGGAGTCCAAAGCAACCAAAAGAGAGTGAGAGAGAAAGAGTCCAAAGTGACCAAAAGAGAGAGATAAAGAGAAAAAATACAACTGAGAGAAAGAAAAAGAAAAATACAATTGAAAGAGAGAGAAACCAGTGGGGAGAGAAAGGGAGACAGAAAGGAAACAACTGAGAGAGAGAGAGAAAACAACCAGGAGAGAGAAAGAGTGGAAAAAAACAACCAGGAGAGAGAGAGAGAGGAAAAAAAAAAATCAGGAGAGAGAGAGAGGAGGAAAAAAACAATCAGGAGAGAGAGAGAGAGAGAAAAAAAAAACAACCAGAGAGAGAGAGAGGAAAAAAAAATCAAAGGGAGAGAAAGACAAGAGAGAGAGTGAGGAAAAAAAAAGAGAGGAAAAAACAATCAGAGAGAGAGAGAGAGAGAAGAAAAAAAAACAACCAGGAGAGAGAGAGAAAAAAATGACCAGAGAGAGAGAGAGAGAAAAAAAACGACCAGGAGAGAGAGAGAGAGAGAGAAAAAAAACGACCAGGAGAGAGAAATGAAAAGGAAAAAAAAGGAAATGACTGTTAGAGAAAGAGTAAATGATTCATAGGAAGGAAGGAAGAGAAGGCTGACAAAAAGAAAACATTTTCAAAGAGAAGAAACGACTGAAAATAAAAAAGAGGAAGAAAGAAATTAAAAAAGAAGAAAATTTTTCCATATAAGATAAAAAAAAACAAATAAAATATAGAAAGTGTAAATAAAGAATAGAAAAATTAGAAAATATTTTGAGAGAGAAAAAGAGACAGACAAAGACAGCTATTTTCAGTAACGTTCTTCATTTCTATGCATGGGTGCTCTCAGGCTGATATTTTTCATACAATATCTCCATACTTGGCAGAAAATTCTGAATCTTTCAACATTTTTATTCCTCCCAATTTCTAGTCAGTTCCAGAAGGAAGTCACTAGGTATGGGTACAGTGGGGTAGGAGACGAAGAAGCGTCTTCCCTTGATAAACTTTGGCCTAAACTGCCTTCTTTCCTTGATAATTTCCAACAGTCTTCTCCTGGTGGCAGAAGTTAGTATGGTGAGATTGGTAATAACAATTGAAAGATTGAAGTCTACTAGTATTCTGAAAATTCAATGACAGACAGACAGATAAAAATAACCAATCACCAAAGCAAATAGACCACATGACAGGCGGACAAAATGGAGATAGGTGACTAGAAAAGAGTTCTAGACAAAGCAGCAAGACAGGATGAGAATATTCTTGAGACGTTTGTCAGATACATACACGTATACTCACACAAGAAACGACGCCTCTGCTTTTGATTTTGTAAATTTCAAAATCAGTTTCATTGAATCCTTTTTTGTGGGAATGTGGTACAGAATCGAACTCCATGACACAGGAAGAATAATTGACCAATCAATTCATTCTATTTTGGTGCTGAAAAGTCCTATGTCCTCAGTCTCTTAAAATAGGAGACATATTCAACCATCACCCAGTTCACATTCCTCCCTGTAGAGGAGTAAAGTTTATCCCTTGTTTCCAAGCTTAGAACTGGGTTTTTGGTTCCTTCTAAAGTCTACTTCAACTCTAAACTTCTAAAATCTCCATCTTTACTCTGAAATTATATTTAAAGTTTTTTCCACTTCAATAAGAGTAGAGATGTTTGACTATCGTCTGGTTCACACACATCTCCAGTCTTTTGAACAGATGCATAGTTTTACCCCTTGTTTCCTGTTTAGGATTGGGTTTCCAGTTCCTTCTAAAATCTTCTCATTCTCCTTCACATCCAGTAGCCCACTTGTCTCTTAGGGGCATCCCTGCCTTGATTGGGGTGAATTATTTAAAAAAAAAATGATGTTAGCAACAACGAATTTAGTAAATGTACCCATTTTCCACAGGATTCCGTTTTGGCTAATAGCAACTTCAAAAAAACTGACTTCACTCACCTAACCCACTTCCACTGATTTGTTTACACCCAAGGCCAAGTACTCCTGGTTACTAAATAAATTTGATTATTTTTTAATCATCTTACCCCAGCTAGTAGGTTACTAAGATGCAAGGGATTACTGAGTGTGAAAGAATCTGAGAAAAAAAAAAATAAATAACATTAAGGAGAAAGGACAATAAAAGAACATGTTTTAAGGAGGCAGAAGATGACAGTTGACATTGCATTTAATTTTTTGAAGATCAAAATTGACTGGGAAGCAAGAAGCCAGAAGAGTGAACCACATGCAAGAAGTGCAAGAGATGAGAGTCTTTATAGAAAAGGCATAAAGAAGTTATGTGATGACAGTGGTAAACTGACTGAAGGTGAGATGCCAAGCTAGGACCAATAATATAGCAGAATCTTTGAATTTTAAAAAAGAATCTCTAAATATATAGCAGAAGCACCGGACTGGATGTGGTAGCAATATTGAAAGCATGGATGAATGGTAGACTTATAAATGTAAAAGATAGTTCCTGGCAAAAAAAAAAATTGTCTTGCATGACACAGTGAGCCAACTTTAGTAGCAGCAGACTTAGCAATTTTATCAATATAATCATTCCATTTCATATCAGTGGAATACCTTAGCCTGAGAAGGTACAAGGAGTAACTCTCCTGAAGGTTAGCATCAGCCATGCTGATGGAAGGTAAAAAAAGATTTCCCTAAGACAAAGAGAGCAGTTTTGTTTTGGAAGCATTAAAACCTATTCGGTTTATAACTAAGATAGGAGTAAATGGCGGTAAGCATTATCATAGATTCAGAGTAGAGAATTAATGACTTTCTGAAGGTTGTTTTTGAAAATTAGGAACAAAGTAGGTACAAGGGAAGATACCCACATTTATGTAAAAAGATCTAGAAGAATGGCCACTCAAGACAACTTTCATTTCACAGTTAGATAAGAAAGATTGAATGAAATAAAAACAATCATTCAGAAATACCACAACCATTCAACTTGTGAAGAAGTCAAGCCTAACAACCCCTGCCAAATGACATCAAGATATCTAAAGTAAAAGCCTGAGCATCACCATTCTTATCTAAAGCTTGACAACCTCTTTCAGCAGTAACTTTTAATGCATCAAGAGTTGACCTACAGAAGTGAAACCATATTGTTTGGCTGAAAGAAGACCCCGTGAGGTGAGATGCTTAACCAATTTGGAGTTGATTACAGATTCTAGGACTTTGTCAAAAAGTGGTAGGAACATTGATAAGAGTTTCCTTTTTAAAATTTTGTTAAAGAAATCCTAGTTTTCAATGTCTTGGTCATATATTGAGAATGTTTAGGGAAAATATGCCTAAGGTCACTTTGACATGGACAGAGAAAGAGAGTCAGACCAAAAATCGTGTTGCATTGAAGAAAGATAGGCACTAAAATATATTGGTCTCTCATGCAGTGAAACGTATGTCAAATCACTAGACAATGTTACGTGGAAGGATAGAAATGTGTCATTTTGACCAAATCAGGAGGAAGAATATAATGTTTTATCTGCAATGTGTTGTATCCTTAAAGAGGTTACAAACAGACAAAGGTGGTACTCGAGTGAAGGAATAGCAACACGCACATAGATGCCAGAAAAGAGGTTTATTGTAAAAGACTACTGAAAGACAGGGAATCAGGTGACAGGCTAGTAATTCCTGAGGCAAGGATATTTACCAACCGTCCCACAAAGCCAGATGTGGCACAAGGCTGAATTTAACATGGGTATTCAAGCCCATAGGCTCAGTCAAAAATTCCCCATAGACCCCTTATAAAACAGGGTCGGGTAGCTGTTCCCCGAGACAAGACTCTGTCCCTCCACACAGCCTCATCTGGGGATCCTCTCAGCCCAGAGGCAGAGAGTTTGACCAGCACAGCTGGAGACGAATCTCCAACTAATTCTCAAAGGAAGCCCCCAGGTATATCTTGTGCTCACTATATATAGCTACTGATATAGTCAATCCACAATAGGTGATAAGGAATGTGGGACATTCCATTACAACACAATGTTTTCCACCCGAAAACCCACATGAAATGTTACAAGCATTATGCTATTCTATTGCTATTTCCATGGAAAGTGTTTAAACTACATTCCTTAGTTCCACTAGTCCTAACCTCCACAGCTAAGAGCTGCCATACCACACATATTCTAGCAAACCTATCTCATTCTCTTTGAATTCCATTGGTGAGATGTAGGTTCCACTCAAACAGCTTCTTCCTCTGAATCACTTCTTTGTGGAACCAACTCTCTAGAAGATGTTCTCTGATCGCTACAATGTTAAACCGGTCCAGTCTAGGATTAACTGTTATTTTCCCCACATATCCTTGTAAAGTTTTCTTCTTACTTCTTACTCCATAACCCTCTACCTTGAGTGGCACTTGACCCTTGTATATTATTGCGAAAAAGAAAAGAAAAAGGCATTCACCCAAACCTAACATAATGCAATTGTACTGCTATATCATTCTCATTATATGTCTGTGTTATCATTATTTATTTTACGCCTAAACCCAAGTGTATCCATTTTATTCTGCAATAATCAATACAATCTATAGATATATACATACTTCCAGTTTTTACAATTCCACTCTGTGATCTGCTCGAACAAAATTTATCATTGTGTGACAAAAACATTTATCTTTATTCTTGCTGAATAGATCTGCTGCAAATGCAAATCAACTTTGTTGGAGAAACATTGCAGTGAATAGAATTTTCACATACCTTGGAATTCTGAAAAGCACTGCAAAGTGCATCCAAAAGTACATCAAAGCTTTGTTTTAACAAAGCCTACACTGCTTTTAGTTGACACGAGAAATCGAACGGATACTGCATTAAAAATATAAGGCTTTAAAACATTTATGTCAAGGCCATCCTTTGCTTTTGGCTGAGGATCACTAAAGTGTCATGAAGAAAGCTATAAAAAACTAAACATCTTTCATGATTATTTACATTATTCGTACTATTGTCCTCATCTTTATCACCATATTTATTACAACGTTTTGGCCATTGTATGCTCCGGCCTTCTTCAGATGGATGGAATGTTGAACTGAACTCTTTATTTCACTCACTGGAGTAGATTGTTCTAGTTCCACAAGCTATGTTTAATGGATGTCAGTTATCAGTTATCTCCTGTTAATTCCCCTCTCCAAGTTCTCCACTGCCTTAATCGGGTATTGAACTCACACTCTTTGGATCCTGTCATTGGATCTAACTAATACCTTTATCCACTGTGCCATGGGAACTTCTGGGAATTAACAGGAGATAATTAAACGAGGCATGTGGAAATAGAACAATCTTGTTCAAGAACTGAAATTTTGGTATCCGTCTATATTTCTGAGATGAGGTATTATGTACACTATTTACATTATTCGGACTATTGTGCTCACTATTTTACATTCTATTACATTGGACTATTGTCCATCCTTCATGGAATTTTGAACTGAACCCGTCATATCTATTACATTGTTTTGGTCGTTGTATTCTCCATCCTTCTTCAGGTGGTTGGAATTTTGAACTGAACCCTTTATTTCAATACCTCACTGGGGTAGACTGTTCTAGTTCACATGCTATGTTTGATGGATGTCATTTATCAGTTATCTCCTGCTAATTTGCCTCTGAAAGTTCTCCATGGGCATTTTAAGGACACATGGCACAGTGGATAAAGGTGTTTGGTTAGATCCAGTGACAGGACCCAAAGAGTATGAGTTCAATACCTGGTAATAAATTTTCCCTTCAAAAATGGACCTAGGAAGTTTTTTAAAAGCAATTAAAAAAGAGGTTCCATGCTCCTCAAAACCTCCAGTTTTGGGGTTAATCCTTGTTGCTGGGATGTAGTTTATCATCTTACCCAGGATGCAGATGTAGTTTATCATTTACCTAGGATGCAGATGTAATTTATCATCTTACCCAGGACTGGTTGAAATTGGTAAATGATTATTTATTGAATTTTTGAACTTGTAATATGTGATAACTTTCTAATGTCTGACATTCAGCTTGTAATTTTCCTTCAGAAAATAACACTTTTCATGTTTCAAGATGTGTTGTTATTTGGAATCCCAACACACAGATATCATCAAAATATGGATCCAACAAAACCCTGAGGAGATGGATCCCAACAGATGCATATGATCTTCTGTAATGAAAATGGTCATTTTACTTTCAAATGAAAAATTACTTTGAATTTCTTTATTACTGTGATCCACTTTATAATGAGTGATATTACATATGGCTTCCTGATTGGAAAAAAATTGCTAATGCCTGGTCTAGATTTCTGTTAATGAAAGACAAGCCGATGGTGTCACAGTACCAAAGATTTGATGACAGACAGCATCAGGAAATATCTGTCTATATTTCGGAGATGAGGTATTATGTACACTATTTACATTATTCGGACTATTGTCCTCATCTTTGTCGCCATATTTATTACAATGTTTCAGCTGTTGTATTCTCTGGCCTTCTTTGGGTGGTTGGAATGTCAAATTGAACCCTTTATTTTGCTCACTGGGGTAGACTGTTCTAGTTCCACGTGTCATGTTTAATAGATGTCAGTTATCAGTTATCTCCTGTTAATTTTCCTCTGAAAGGTCTCCACTGCCTTAACCGGGTATTGAACTCACACTCTTTGGGTCCTGTCACTGGATCTAACCAACATCCTCGAGCACACATGGCACGGTGGATAAAGGCATTACTTAGATCCAAGTGGAATGGCCCATGAAATTAGGAAAATCTATCCCGGTGGATGAAATAAATTGTTCAGTTCGAAATTTCAGTCACCTGAAGAAGGCCCAAGCTTACAACAGCCGGAATATTGTGAATATGGCAATGAAGATGAGGATGGTAGTCTGAATAATGTAAATAATATAAGTAAATCTTTTATTGTTCAATATGAGCCCTATTTAATTTTTTTTTGCTTGGGACATATAGTTACTCATATTAAAATGATGTCAAGTTTTTTTGGACACCCTTTGTGATCTGCTGAAACTGAATCATCCATTGTGGGATAAAGAAAGTTTTGACTTTGCTTGTGTGAATCCAAATCACTATTGTTGGAGAAGCACTGGAATGCATTAAAATTTTCAGATACCTTGGAATTCTCGAGAACATTGAAAATGGCATCCCAAAAACTCATCAAGGCTCGTCTTCAAGCCGTCAGTGCTTTTAGTTGACTTTGAAAATCAAAGCAGAACAGCATCAAAAGTAAAATCAGGCTTTATAACAGTCATTTCAAAACTGTCTAAGTGTTAGAGAGCCAAAAAGATGACATGGAAAATTTTATATTCCGCAACAGTTGTCTAGGAAAGACCTTTAATATTTAACTGTTAAAGAAGTTCTCTAACGAGGAAAAGCCCAGGAGAACAAACAATAAGTATATGTGCCTTGAGATTAAGAAACACATTACACAGGTAGTATGTGGCAAGCGTCTTTTATGGAAAGTGATTGGAAGAATTACATTCCTTGGTTCTGCAAGGCCTAACTTTCATGACAAGGACCCACCATGCCATTTACATTGTAGCAATCTACCGACATTCCCTCCATATTCAATTAGTGAGAAGTAAGTTCCACTCAAACAGCTTCTTCCTTAGAACTGCTGTTCTGTGGAACCAAGTTCCAATAAGATGTTTTTCATGATCACTACAATTTTAACCTGTTCAAGTCTAGGGTTAACTGTTGCCTTTCTCTCAAATCTGTCCAAATTGCCTCCTAACATAACCTTTCACATTGAGTGGTCACAGGTCTTCTACAGAGTGAAGCTAAAAAAAAAAAAAAAAACCTGTTAAGATGGCTAGGTCATGTCCTGATGATGTCCACTTAAAGAATATTTAAAATTGCCTTGAAATTATCCCAAACTGGGAAGAGTATCTTTGGTATACTTTGATACATTGACTTCATGAATTTAGGCATAGTACTACATTGGCAGCTGGGTATCATCATTTTATCATTGAAATTGCATGCTATAACCATGAGTTTTTCCTGATAGTTTCTTTCCTGGCACTTCTCGCATGTGGAACTCTTTACTAGCTTCTTGCGTTCATGTCAACTATGTTCTTCAAAAAAAAAAAAAAAAAAAATGAAATATCAACCATCATCTGGCTTGTAAATTTTAATGCCTCTAAAACAAAACTGCTCTCCTTTAACCACCAGAGAGAAACTTTTCTGCCTATCATCAACATGGCTGATGCTAGACTCCTGGAGAGCAACACATTGTGCCTTTTTGGCCACACGTTTTGAATCCTGTTCTTTTTATTGTCCTTTCTCCTCAGTTTTCTCAGTTTCTTTCACTTTCAATGACCCTCTTGTGTCTCAGAGGCTTTATTGTCTTGCTTGTGGTGAAATAATTGAAGAAAAAAAAAGAGAGAGAGACTAAAAGTCATCTGCTAAGGGATCATGATATGGAACTGAAAGAAATCAGTCTCTCATAAGATAAAATAAAAGCCAATACATAAAACAAGGTTCAGTGGCGGGATATGGTTGTGGCTTTATATCCTAGCTTAGATAAAGGGAACAACATAACACACTATACATATACAGACATTGAGCAGGAAATATGGTCCAGAAATCTATCAACAGTCATACCTGCAGTTTTATAGTTTCTATTATTGTTGTTGTTAGTATTCTTGTTATCATCATAACATCATTAATGGTAAAAGTAGTATTCGGAATAATGAGTTGAGTTGCAGGGAAAAATGATGGCAGAGTAACTATGGCAACTAATTTTCCACTCTTCATCCTCCAAATATAATTTTATCAAATATAGAATTTGGAAAAAAGTAAAAAAAAAAAAAACTTTTTTTTAAATTATAAATTATTCATTAATTTTGTAAGATGTTTTTTTTATTATTTTGGCTTTAGTTTTCTTACTTTGTTTGCAATTTTTCCCCTTTTTAAAACTTTCCAATTTATTAAATGCATTTCTGTAGTATTGGAATATTTTTATTAACCAATTCTTATATCTCTTTCTCTCTCTCTCTACTTAACTATATGTATCGATCCCTCCATCTATATGCAAATATAATTTATTTATTTGTCTAACTATTTTAGTCTCTACATACATATTTAAAAAATCTATAAAAACTATTGATAGTATGTTTGTCCACAACTATTCATAGATATATTTATCCTGGTTTATCCTTCTTTATTTTAATGATTCTTCATTTCTATCAAACTTTTTCTATCTACCTACCTTAGTCTGTTAATATCTATCTCAGTCTCTTCATATCTGTTTCTACATATCTATCTATCTCAGTCTCTTCATATCTGTTTCTACATATCTATCTATCTCAGTCTCTTCATATCTGTTTCTACATATCTATCTATCTCAGTCTCTTCATATCTGTTTCTACATATCTATCTATCTCAGTCTCTTCATATCTATCTATCTATCTATCTCAGTCTCTTCATATCTATCTATCTATCTATCTCAGTCTCTTATCTATCTATCTATCTATCTATCTCAGTCTCTTCATCTATCTATCTATCTATCTATCTATCTCAGTCTCTTCATCTATCTATCTATTCATCTATCTCAGTCTCTTCATATCTATCTATCTATCTATCTCAGTCTCTTCATATCTATCTATCTATCTATCTCAGTCTCTTCATATCTATCTATCTATCTATCTCAGTCTCTTCATATCTATCTATCTATCTATCTCAGTCTCTTCACATCTATCTATCTATCTCTCTATCTCAGTCTCTTCACATCTATCTATCTCAGTCTCTTCACATCTATCTATCTATCTATCTCAGTCTCTTCATATCTATCTATCTATCTCAGTCTCTTCATATCTATCTATCTATCTATCTCAGTCTCTTCATATCTATCTATCTATCTCAGTCTCTTCATATCTATCTATCTATCTCAGTCTCTTCATATCTATCTATCTATCTCAGTCTCTTTATATCTATCTATCTATCTCAGTCTCTTTATATCTATCTATCTATCTCAGTCTCTTTATATCTATCTATCTATCTCAGTCTCTTTATATCCATCTATCTATCTCAGTCTCTTTATATCTATCTATCTATCTCAGTCTCTTCATATCTATCTATCTATCTCAGTCTCTTCATATCTATCTATCTATCTCAGTCTCTTCATATCTATCTATCTATCTCAGTCTCTTCATATCTATCTATCTATCTATCTCAGTCTCTTCATATCTATCTATCTATCTATCTCAGTCTCTTCATATCTATCTATCTATCTATCTCAGTCTCTTCATATCTATCTATCTATCTATCTATCTCAGTCTCTTCATATCTATCTATCTATCTATCTCAGTCTCTTCATATCTATCTATCTATCTATCTCAGTCTCTTCATATCTATCTATCTATCTCAGTCTCTTCATATCTATCTATCTATCTCAGTCTCTTCATATCTATCTATCTATATCACACATACCCCACCCATCCATAATTGCTGAAGGATGAGGATCAACCATCATGTACAACAGGACAAATCACACTCACAGTGAAACACATTTTAACTGAATGTATTCATATACCCCCCCATCAGACATGAACAGAAGGAAACCAAGAAGAGAAGAACTTTTGAAAATACAGAAACCCTCAACATAATCATAAAGAAATAGGTATATGCCAAAATATACAATCTCAGCCGCTATAGCCCACAGGAATCACTTATTCTGGCTGTATCAGTGCAACACATCTGATTGCAACAGATGTCACTTTGTCCCTGCTCGTAGTGAATGCAAGTGGGTCCTCAAATAAGTGAAGTTACTGTTTGCTGATAGAATGAAAAAAACGTATTACATCTCATATGTTCGGTTCTAGGGATTATTGGTGGCAATGCAAGGGTGTGCTGAACAACAGAAAATCCTCAATCCCTTCGCTATTCAATCGATTTAAAATCCTGACAGTCCTGGAGTACCCATACCTGATTTCCACTCTAGAACAGAGGCTTTACTGAGTGATATGTGCATAACCCCATCACTGATCTCAAATATCATTTCTAAATTAGATTCCCATAAGGCAAGCAAAGGTGACGGAATCCCAGCCATCATCCTCAAGAAATGTTCTCCCAAGCTGGCTCCAGTTCTCTACAAACTTTACAACTTTTACCTCACTGCTTCCCTACTTGTTAGAAATCATCCTCTGAATTTTCTGTTTTTAAGAACTCTGAAGAACCTTCTGATTCCTCTATCACTCCATTAGTCTCCTGCAACTTTTTGGCAAAGTATTCAAGGCATTAATCAATGCTGAAATGATTAAACATCTTATCTTCCACAACCTAATCTAAGATAAACAATATGGTTTCCATTTTGCCAGGTCTACTGCTGATATGCTAAAGACCATAATTGAATAGGTATATCAAGGTCTTGATTATAACAGTGAAGCTTTGTCTGTGGGTTTAGATATCTCAAAGGTTGGCATGCTGGTTTTCTATGTAATCTCCATGACTACAGTATTACAGGATGATTGATTGATTTAATCAAACTGTTGCTATCAAAGTCTGTCTATATTTCTGAGATGAGGTATTATGTACATTATTTACATTATTCGGACTATTGTCTTCATCTTTGTTGCCATATTTATCACAAGGTTTTGGCCGGAAAGGAATATAAAGGAGACACAGACCGCCCCCTCAAGGTAAGGCTTCAAGAACACCAGAAAGCTGTAACACGAGGGGAGGTAGAAAAATCAGGCGTGGCTGACCACATATGGAGAGAGAAGGGAGATCACCACCCTCTGTGGGATCATGTTGAGATCATAGATAGGGAACACCATTGGAAAATTCGTAAACTTAAGGAATCAGCACATATCCTAGGCCACACAAATCTCCTGAGCAGACCAAGCATAGAAATAAATACAATATGGGAACCAGTAATAAGGAATGCCAGAGAAAAGCAATGATAACAACAAAAGTTGCAATATGAGCTCTGGTAAAAATGGTTGCTGAAGACATTAGGTTTATAATACCCAGAAATTCATACCCAGATGTCCTCAAGGACACATGTGGATAAAGGCGTTGGTTAGATCCAGTGACAGGACCCAAAGAGTGTGAGTTCAATACCCGGTTAAGGCAGTGGAGAACTTTCAGAGAGGAAAATTAACAGGAGTAACTGATAACTGACATCCATTAAGCATGGCATGTGGAACTAGAACAGTCTACCCCAGTGAGCGAAATAAAGGGTTCAGTTCGACATTCCAACCACCTGAAGAAGGCCGGAGCCTACAACGACCGAAACATTGTGATAAATATGGCAACAAAGATGAGGACAATAGTCCGAATAATGTAAATAATGTTGCTATCAAATTGTAAAATGAATGTTGTGGGTTCACTTCCAGATTCTTTCACACAAATGCAGGTGTCCCCCCCCAGACTCTATCCTTGGTCCTACACTGTTTCTAATCTTCATCAATGATCTTCCTGTTCTCAAGTAGGCATTTCTGCAGATGACACTACCATTTACTCCTGTCTCAATAGCAAATCCTTCACATCTGACAAAGTAAACCAGACTGCTGCTGTTGAAAAGGACCTCCAATCAGAGGTTAACTGGGACAGGATATGGTTTGTAAATTTTAATGCCTCTAAAACAAAACTGCTCTCCTTTAACCACCAGAGAGAAACTTTCCTGCCTACCATCAGCATGGCTGATGCTAGACTCCTGGAGAGCAACACACTGTGGCTTTTTGGCCACGCGTTTTCAACTGACATGAAATTGAATGACTATATCAAATCAATAGCTTCATGTACTGCAAAGAAAGTTGGCTCACTGTGTCATGCCAGAAAGTTTTTCTCGTCACAGGTGATCTTGCACATTTATAAATCTACCATTTGTCCGTTTCTGTAAATACTTTCGTGGTAATTGTTTGGATGAACTCATTGCTAAGGTACCTAGAATCTTCAAACTTAAGTGCAGTACTAGACTGGTAATAAGGTCTCTCTAATAAGCTGGCTAACCATAAATTAACAGTTTCTTTTCTTGCACTTCTTGTTTGTGGAAATCCCTTCTGGCTCCTTGCTTTCCAGCAAACTTTAATCTTCACAAATTTAAATGCAATGTCAATCACTATCTGCTGTCTTTCTGATTACTCATCCTCTGTTCTTGCTTCTTAGCAATGTTCCTGTTTCTAACTCTTCCACACCCAGTAACCCCTTGCATCTTGGTGGCTTTACTGACTTGCTTGGGGTGAACTCGATTAAAAATAAAAAAATACAAAGCAAAATAATAAGCTAAAACTTGGAGGACGAATTTACTATAACCTGTAAAAATTACCACAAAGAATACATAGGAGAAACCTTGAGGGACTGAAATAATACAGGAACACAAAAGGGATCTTTTACAAAACAATGCATTTGATACTCATAATGAGTATGCTTAAAATTTTGATTTATAAAATACTGCTATAATTAAAAGAGAAAGCAATTTACTTAGGCAAAAGAGTATAGAAAGTGCTTTAATTGCTAGATCAGTCACAGTAAATTTGTGTCCAGTTTCCGACAATGTTACACACCTTTCTTGGCAGATTTTCTGTAGTTGAAGGTATACAATTGTGTTTAAAATATTAAAATTTATGCTTTGCATAACCCATAGAAATGTTGATATGCCACAACAAAAATAATCAACCAAAATGTTTTGGCCATTTTGCTCTCCGACCTTCATCAGGTGTATATTGATATGGGTAACCAATAGGAAATTCCAAACAGAACCACAATGTGGGAAGCTTAATAACAAAAGTGATAAAAACAAAACCAAAACAAACTAAATAAAATTGCCTAGACTATATACCCAAACACATGTTACAATAAATAAAAATAAAATTTAAATAAATGTACAATTTCTGCATCCCCTGTCTCTCATGTGTATGTGCAGTTACATCAATAAATATTATCTCTGATGAAGTCGTAAATGACGAAACGTGATACACAAAATATTTTTTCCACTTTAACTTTTCTTAAAAATATATCTATGATTTTTTTATATTCTGTCCACAACTTTTTTAGCCTGATTTATTTTTCTTTACCTCAGCTATCTAAAACTTTTCACATCTAACAATTTTTGCCTATCTCTGTACATCTTAGCCTAATTTAATCATATCCTACCTAACTAGGCTTCATATCTACCAATTTTTTTGTTTATCTATTTCAGTATATTCATATCTATTGATCTGTTTATCAATATCTTACTCAGATTGATCTGTTTCTTCATGTAGTTATCTTAGCACACATGTATTTATTTGAAAATCAATTTGCCCAGGGCTAGCATATACTACCTGCACATCCCACCCAACCAGGGGCTGGTCCCAAGCTTGATTGGAGGCCTCGGTCAGTGCTTTGTGATCCCCGCTATCAACATTTGCTTTTCTACTACCTATATTTATGTATGTTACAAATTAAACTAAGCACAACTGACAATTAAAGGATGAAACATTTTCTCGGATTTTTTACATCATTCTGGGATCTGGGATTTTTTACATCATTCTGGGATCTGACACGTGTCATAAGAGATCATTCAATCTTAAATAGATAAACAATGTTTGACAGCAATTTTCAACATCAATGTGAGACTTTTCTTGTGAAAAAGTGGAATAGTTTAACACATTCAACATTATGGATAAAAAACTTAACATGTGCAAAAAAGAAAAATTCATAGATTTGGACAGGAAAAGAAAGACCACCAAAAGACGTCAAAATTCACAAATTTCAGTAATAGTCAGTTTTGCATAGTTTCATTTTTGACATAAATAAATGTAGGCTTCAGCTCCATCTTCAATCTGTTCAGGGGTTTCAGAGGTAGTATTGTTGTGGAGTGATTTCACAGTGGAGGCTTGTATTTGTACTAAGTCGATCCTAAAATAGGTTCGATGTACAAAATGTTAGGAACTTGATATAATAGGTATAACGCAGAGTAATCTAGTTGTGGTTGCTAATACTTTAGTATTCAACTGTCGTCTGACATCAACTGACTGACTCGTTTCTCTTACTACTCCTACTTATTATAGGTGGGAGAGTCTATTAACTATAGAATAGGTGTGTTCCACCATAACAAGTATGCACCAGCCATGCATACATATATAATAGCTGGATGCTCATAATTGAGGATACCCGTCTACTAAGTTGGCTAGCCAATCCCTATTGCAGACGCTCGCTCAGGCACATTTGAGTTTGTTCAGCACCCACAGAGCCAACCTGTGGTTCATACTGCAACTATGCTGAGCAGATCTTAGTTACAGTTTCTGGGAGAAAGTGTGTTATTTACCATGATCAACAAATCTGAACAACATCAGCATGCTCAAACCCTCGGTCACGATGACTTGTAATTTTGTGCTAGCACAGCTATTGACGGCCCCCAAGTGTTCCATCTACCCAATTTCACTCACAAGGCGTGGTATGGTTTTTCAGGCACTTTCCAAAAATAATGCACACTGAGATTGTTCCCTTCCAGATGAGTAAGTCAGGAAGTCTC